TTTTTCTTAAAAAAACGGATTTCCAAAATCCGTCCGTTTGAATCTTGTCCACAACCATTTTTTTTCTTTTATTTTTTGGCACAGATTTTTCTTTTTTTTTAATTAAATAAGCTACCCCTATTATTATACTATTTTTTTTTCCCTTTGAATTATGAGAAAAATTTGGTTCTTTTTGAAGGTTTTGTGGAAAAGTGGAATTTGGACGGACAAATTTGCAGGTGAATATCCGACCCGACCCGACCATCGATGGTTTATTAATGGGCTGAAATTTTCTAAATGGGCCAACTTCGTGGACGACCATAAGTGGGCTTATACTATTGGACGAGGTACTGTTGCTACAATAATTTGGGCTCAAACTGTGTGCTCTCACCTAAAAGAAATTAGAATTAGCTTCCAACAAAATTATATAAGTAAAAAATATAAAACTTTAAACTTTAAAACTTTAAATTAGCTTTCATAGAGTTTAGAACTTTACTATGCACTTTCCAGAATTAGAGAATTTTGTTTTAGTGATCCTATAAAAGTGGAAGCTACTTAAATATCGACATTTTGATGTCATATTAGAGCCACTTAATTACTAATTAGATTAAAGTAGTTACATCTTTTCTCCCTTTTTCTAAAATATTTTATTTGTTTTTATTAATATTTTGGAGGGAAAGGGTTTTGGATTCTTGATTAGTTGGTAAATGGACACCAATAAAAGAAATTAAATAAATGATCGCTTGCTTTCATGAATGAGCCACGAATGCAATATATAAAGGTGTACACGAGTCGAGCGTAACTCAAACTCCTAATATTCAAGCTTGGGTTGGAGCCTTTTTCGATTCGAGCTGACTAAACAAGAGCTCAATGACCCCAAACTCAACTTCCATATTAATAATATTCACGAGCCTAATTTGAATTTTAATGAACCGCGCTGTTGAAAGTTGGATATATATAATCCTTATTTTATGAATTAAAATTAATTAAACTTGAATTCAACTTCGAGTGGAGATCGAACCGAGCCGAACTCAAGAATTTTTTTTTTTTTTTTTT